CTTTTGACTTTTGGAAGCTAACACTAAATATCTATTGCAATTGAAATTTGTGCATATACAATAGAATGGTCCTCATTATTATGTTACCAAGAAGAAAAAAATCAAAAATGGTGGGCCAAAGTATGTTCATTTTCAAATTTTGATTTTTTTTTTTAAGGTGGTTCCAAAATTTAGTTCAAATTTTTCGAAAAAAGCTTTTGAGAAACTTCCTCTGTTCATACTCTTGTCATTTTCCTCTCTGTATATTAAACCCATCTCTCATAATTTTTATCAAATTTGTTTTTTCTCCAGCTAATTTGTAAAAACTAAAGATGATTGGACAAAGCTTCCCTGAAGATCTTGACTGTGGAAACTTCTTTGACAACATGGACGATCTGATTGATTTTCCCGGTGGTGATATCGACGTCGGTTTCGGCATCGGTGACTCCGACTCTTTCCCTAACATCTGGACCTCTCATCACGACACGTGGCCCGCTCCTGCTTCAGACCCTCTCTTCTCTTCCAACACCAACTCTGACTCTTCCCCTGAGCTCTATGTTCCGGTCCGTTCTTACGCTAACTTACGCCCTTTTCTGTTATGCGCATTTTAGCAGTTTTACACATTTGATTTAATAAGTGAAACAATGAGAATTCTGTTACTTTTTGGTGGTTTTTAGTTGAATTTTTCCCGCTTGTCTAACAATGGTTGGTCCGGTTAGTTTTCTGCTAACGTACGCACTCTTACTTGTTATTAACAATTCTGATGTTTTGTTGGTGGTGGAATTGCAGTTTGAAGATATTGTTAAGGTGGAAAGACCACCGAGTTTTGTGGAGGAATCTTTGGTTGAGAAGAAGGAGGATTCGTTTTCGACAAATACGGATTCGTCGTCTTCTCACAGCCAATTCAGGAGCTCAAGTCCAGTGTCGGTTCTCGAAAGCAGCTCCTCCTCGTCTCAAACAACCAACACAACGTCCCTTGTTCTCCCTGGAAAGCACGGTCGTCCACGCACAAAGCGCCCTCGTCCACCGGTCCAGGATAAAGATAGAGTGAAAGATAGCGTGTACGGGGCTGATTCGCGCCTCATCATTAGAATACCGAAGCAGTTTCTGTCTGACCATAACAAGATGATCACT